TGAGATAATTATACGATTGGATAAAAATAATGATAATCAGGTGATAAATTATAAAAATTAAGAAAAAGGGAATTTCGTATAATCAAAGAAAGATTATTGAATTAGAGAAATTTATGTTACTACGGTAACAATAATTTTATTTAAAGTTTTCTTATAAAACTAATAATTATATTAATTTTATTATTAATTTATAATTTTTTGAATAATATAATATTAAAATATTTATTATTCAAAATATATTATATAATATTATATTTATTATAATTTATAAAAATTATTAATAACTGAATCTTAAATAATTTAAAATTGTATAATATTTTTTTAATATAATAAATATACTTAAAAAAGAAAGAAATTTATAATTTTAGTTTGATAATAATATTATTATATTAATTTAATAATATATTTATTAAAATAAAATAAAAAACTATATTAATATATATATTAATTTTGTTATAAAATTTGGAAAATTTATATAAATTTATTTTTAAAATAAATAACAAAACAAATATATTATTAAATTTAATAATATATTTATTTTGTTTAAAAATAAATAATTATATAAGTTATATTTCTAAAAGTAATTATTAAATAAATTTCTGGTTTTTTATATATATTTATTTGTATATAATAATAAATTAATTATAACAAATTATTATATTATTATTTTAGTTTTATAATTAATATTTTATATAATAGAAATTTTTTAATAAAAGATCTTTTTTTTATCTTTATAAAAAATTATTAAAATATATTACTTTTTATTTAATTTAATTTTTATTGTGTTTTATAATATATTTATAATATTATAAAATTTTATTCAATATTATTCAAATTATATATATAATATTTAATTTATTAAATATATAATATTAAAGTTTGTCTTATATAAATATAATATTTATTATATAATAATAAAAATATATAGTAACAATCAGAAATAATATAATAATTTCAAAATTTATTAATTAAATATAATAAAATATGAATTTTTTTCTTTATATAAAAGTTTTAATTTTACTAATAAATATTTTTTATTTTTATATTAAAATAAAGATAATATATGATATAATTTTTATTTTAATATAAATATAAAAAATATTTATTAGTAAAATTAAAAACTTTTATATAAAAAAATTTACATTTTACTATATTTAATTAATAAATTTTGATATTATTATATTATTCCTGATTGTTATTATATTATATTATTACTAATATTAAAACTAAAAAATATATATTATTAATTATAATATAATATATATAAACTTTCTCAATTATATTAAAAATATACTATTTATTAGAGTAATATATTCTCTATAATATATTAAATATTTATTAATTTTTATATTCAAAATATATTACTTTTGATAAGCATTATATAATTGTTATTGTAGCTCTAAAAAGCTTTATACAAATATAAAGAATTAGTATTTAAATTTCCTCTATTATCTATTTCTTTATTATTTTATATTTTCTCTTTTTTTCAATTTTTACTCTTTTATAACTCTTTTCTTTTAGTATATTTGTTTAATTTTCTTTTTCAATCGAGATTCAAGTTAGCAAGCTAATTTAATGATTAGTAAACAAACTTATAACAATAAAATAATTGGAATTAATAATAAATATTCAATGAGTTATATAACTTTTTACAATAAAATTTAATAAACATAAAAATAAAAATACTTTAGTTGTCATTAAGTAAACTTTTAATTCTTACTAAATATAAATTATCTTATAATTAAAGTTATAATTCATATTTAGGATTACAAATTGGTATTGATATTATATGCCAATCTCAAATTAAACTTGAATCAGACTCAAACTCATATAATGATTTAGTTTGAGTCCAGTCAAACTTTGAACTTTAGTTTGAATTTCAAATTAGACTTGAATCCAGACAAAATTCCAGCTCAGTTCAGTTCAGTTCATAGGAATATTACTTGTATACAATATCTATAATGGAATATGACCCAAGGTACCAAGTAATAGTGTAAATTTATTATTGAAAAATGTTGGGATCCTATTCCAAAACAGACTGACTGCAAAGAAACTTGGAGACTTTATCTAGGAGTGGAAACCAAATACTTTGCATTTTCAGTACTACAGCACTTTATCCTAAACCACCTGAAGAAATTAAAGAGTGTCTTAAACAGAAAGGCAGAAATGGAAAAAACGTTCCTAAAATACGAACAAATTCACTCAAATACAGTTTACACCAGTAAGTCATATTGACATGAACAATATTGAAATTTATTTAGGTTCTACACGTGTTATATATGTTCCAGATGAAGGTAAACTCGCCTTTTATTAACTTCATTAATTTTTCTTTTGTATTGCGAAACAGAAATTAACGAGAATATATCGAATTTCTTTCAGAAATGACCGCAAATACTTGTTCTATTGTTTTGTCAGCGTACACCTGCTTATAAACATTGCATCTTTGCATAGATTTAGTTTATTTCTTTTATGTGTATTTAGAGTATACCGATACGGATCATATTAAGTAAAAATCCCCGCTTATCGTATAACGAAAACTGTGAATAACCATCGACGTCGTCGTTATCTTCATTTTGATAAAATGGAAATTCTCGTCATTTTCACTTATTACGTTCGCTTGAAAAATCATTTACTTGCTATGTTTATCTATACGCACCAATAAGAATTGTAACATGAATTAATTAATTTTGGCTTTTCAATTAAGCTATCGTAAAATGATCAGTAAACGTCCAATTAAATACGTATCAGAAAAATCAAATAAAAGGAAAAGATGGAATCAAGACAATAGTGATAATAGTTGTCTATTTCAAATCTTGGTGATCATAATTCTCAAAAGATCTGAATTTAAACATTGTTATCTGATGTGATTTTATGAATATAGTTGCTTCCACTTCAAAATATCATCATTATTGATTAAAGATAAGTATGCTTCAATGAAAAATAATTGATTTAGTACATATCGATGTCGTTGTTGATTGGTTGATCAACACTGACCCATTAAAAGAAAGACGATTTTCAAGTTGTGATTTGCTTGCAAGTTTCATGATGGCCCACAAACTTATTCATTACGTATTGCGATTTGAAACTTTGAAATAAATTAGAAAACACAACATTGTCAGTATTTGCCGTTGTATGCATGTATATGGGTTAAGTGCAATAGAAACGGTGTAAATTATATTATAAATTCTAGTACAATTTACACCGCTTCTATTGCACTCAGCCCATATGTCATTCCACATGTTCATTGTAGACTAGGATCTGAATCATGGTGTATATACCCGGGTCTACTATGGTGCAGGAACTCTAAAATCGACAATATATTTCATGATATAAATTCTATCAACTTCTTAACTAAGAATTAAATCCAAAATTTAACCGGTAATATTATAGAAAAGGACTTTCTTGATCATATTACCGTATTTTTCGGCAATTAGTAACCGGGTCTTACATTCTAGGGGCTCAAACATTGATTAGTACCCACCGGGTACTTTGTGAAGAGGAGGGTATATTATACGGGGGATACTTAACATGGAAGCCGTAATTTTGGCCCGGATTACACTATTTTTGGTCTGAATAATGCTAATTTCAGGAATTATGAAGGGTGGTACTTTACATTCTACTCAACTTGTAACCGAGATTAGTACCAGGGTACTTTATCAAAGGGATATTTTATCAAGTGGGCACTAATTGCCGAAAACTACGGTACCAGTTAAATTTTTGATTTACTTCCTAGTTAAGAAGTTGATAGAATTTATAACATGAAACATATTGTCGATTTAAGAGTTCCTACACCATAGAATTTTCAAAAATTATTACTACGTATATATAAGACCAGACCTGAACCATTGGGAGGTGTATGCAAGCCGCTATAAAAAAACTTCGCTGTAAATTTCAATATATGTTTGGAAAAAATACGAAAAAGTTTTATATGTCTGTTAAAGGGTCACTTTTACAGACCTATAATCATGTAATTGAGTATTAAATTATGAAAATGAAACGGACTTTTACAATCTTTTACATACGCGACTTACGTTGTAAAAAAACATGTAAAAAGTGACCTTTTACGTGTCTTTTACAGATATATCGGACATTTTACAGACAGATTATGTGCAATTTTCTTATAGGAAGGTAATTCAATGAAATTTGTTTTTAACTGTCATGTGCGCGTATTTTATCGTATCTTTCAAGTCGCGTAATCTTATTTATCTTTGCTTTTATAAGAGATATACTATGAAGAGAGAAACGAAACAAAGACTTCTTAATCTTAGCAGGAAATTTCCTTGTCAAAATGTATATACAATCGTTATCTAAATAAATATTACAAGAAATTTTTATTGTTATCGTTATATAACGATAACTAAATGATGAGTTTTATTTACAAATAATCGATAGCGATAGCGATAGTTAAATACATGTAGTTTAAAATATAATGATAATGATCGGCATAATTGATTAGATATCTAAATATCGACATTGTGTTTACTTTGTCGCTGGTGTAACAGGAGTCGAAAAGGAACCTTTTCCTTCTGGCATTCCGGCTAACCAAGTAGGTGGCGAAATACCAGTTTGGTCTTGAATTGTTGATAGTAATGGAGGTAAACTCTACGTAATTGAATTGTGCATCAGTCAATCAATTCACTTAGTTAATTACCAATTATTAATCAATTTACCTTAAAGATATCAGCCACTGGTCCCATTCCATTGCTTGAACTTCCCTCCGCGCCAGTATTCCATACAGTAATCTTTGGATTCAATCCTTTGACAGCAGCAGCATTTTCTTTGGCCAATTGCACGTAGAGACCACGTTCAATCATAATGTACTGCAATGCGGCACTTCGATCATTGCCAAAGGCTTGCATCAATTGTTGAATACCTTTTGCTTGGGCATTATAGACTGCGAGTACACCTTCTGCCTCTTTTTGTTTCTGATACAAAGCAGCTTCGGCTTCTTTTTGTGCAGTATAAAGTTTTGCTTCTGCTTTCGCTTTGGCTGCTTCATATTCGGCATTTGCTTTGGCGACAAGTTCTACACGTAATCTTTCGGTTTCTGATAATAGACGACGTTCTTCAACTTGTTTTTGAAGTTCAGCTTCTCTCATTGTCGCCGCTTGAGCAGCTTCGATAGCTGCGATTTTCGTTTTTTGATCGAATTCGGATTTCTTTGTAGCCAACGCCATTTCAGCTTGTGCAATGGAGACTTTTCTTTCATTTTCACTAATGAGTGTATCCGCTTCAATCTTGGCATTTTCTCTTCGTGTTAAGCCTTCACGTTCTTTGGCACCGACATCACCACGATATCTCGCTTCTGCCACGTCTACTTTTGCTTGATTGACAGCACCTTCATGTGTTTTCATTCGCTATTTATTTAATATAAGGACATTAAATTCTCATAATCAAAGAAAGATCCCCATTTTATCGTGAAAAAGTTATATATACCATGTATGCAAAATATTCTGATCCTTGGGTATCTTGCAATTGTTTGACATTGGCGTTATAAATGAACAGGCCAAATTGATCAAGCTCAGCTTGTACATTCTTAATTACTATAATACAAAGGTTAATTCGACGTGTTAACTCTCAAATAATAAAGAGGAGCAAATAAAACAAACCTTGGTCTTTAAAGCCTTTGCGTTCCTGGAAAATTTCCTCCATAGTCAAACCAGCAGCTATAACTCTAGTTTCACCCTATATTCACCATCCCGAAGAATGAAAGTTTTAATGAAAATTTAAATAGATTCACAAAGAAAGTAAAATGAATGCTAACCTCGATAATACCACGAACGATATCTCGAACATGGTCGGATTTTTTATCTTTATCTTTCGAAGCCTGGAGAGATGCGTAAAATAATTAATATGGCGATCATTTGAAATGGTTGCGTGCCGTAAAAACTTACCAATAATCTGGCATATCTCAAAAGACATTCTGGGTCATCTTTTGGACCAATGGTGAATACGGCAGGCAAATTGAATTCCAGTTTTTCGGCACTCATAGCCTGGAGGTCCAGTGTATAATTTACAGGGGTAATATCAAAGAACGAGTGCCGTTGACCGATTAATACCCATCCTTTCTTGCCCAATTTCAAATCGTCAATGAATGCGCCAGTGCGCACCAAATATTGATTTGGATTACTAACAGAATAATAAGTACATGTATATGATTAGTTTCAATGAGAAGTGAATTAATAAGTTAATAGTGAAGAATTATTCATTACCTGATTCTATAGGTAGCCATTTTGATTTTATTTATTACTAGAAATTAATGAAAAAATTATTAAAAAAGTATTCCAATCTAGGAAAGTTTAGATGGCAAAGATAGGAGGAATGTTAAATAGAGAGTGTATCGGTATATTTGTGTTGAGAGCAAGAGGATGATTGAATATCAATTTTTCGTTACTCGAGATTGTGGTGGAGGTGGTTGTTAATTGACACACGAATACGCCAATATGTATTCTAAGACAAAATAAAGAAATTAAATGGTTCAACGACAACGAAAACGATACAGAACAAGCTTATATATATTTTTTCGTCGTATAATAATCAATATTATATAATAAATTAACGGACTTTCTGCAACGACAATTTAGATAATATAATGGTACGGATAATCAAATACATGTACATGTACTGTGTTTAATTCGAGAAAAACTATCCATCGAACGATTTTGATTTTTGTTCTACAATATAGCGATAGGTTGGAGAATTCACACAATCACTAATTGTATGCGTTTTTATTCTACTGTTTTTGGATTGTGTTGCATTAGATTTTTTACAGATAGCGATAGGCATCGTACATGTATATGTATTACAGATTATTATACGCATTTTTTGAGTGAGACATTTACCTTTTATAGTATATATTACATTTAAAACTCTTCAAAAAAGCGAATTTGTGAATAGAAAATTACGGTAAAATAATTATTGAACGCGTCCAAATATAATCCATGTACAAAATGACCAAAATGATCTCGAGAACTACGTAGTGATTAAAGATTAGGAATAAAAAATTTACAAATGATCGTGATTATTCAATTTAATTTGGCCAGATGACCAGTCATACGCAAACACCGATCAACATTGTCGACCAGGGAATTCCATTTCTGCTAATCGTTAACGTTAGCGTTAGTGACTGCAAAAAAAGCCACTTCATCATGTTTCACGGGCAGAAGGAGGAAATTATCTTAGTAGAACCTCCAAGTGGAATTCCGGAGTTTATAATTATCGTCCAATCATTCTAAGATCGCAGATCCTAAATGCTTTAGTGCCAAAAAGAAATCGCAAATAGCTTGAAACTTTAATAAGCTAGTGAGACTAACGCTAATAAAAAATCTTTAGCGTTAGCGTGTAATTTTGTTTATAATGTTAGCCAGGGTGCAATGATGCTCTCATCGATTGTAAGTGATTAACACCACCACTGGTGTATTAAACAATTGAGTTCGAACAATTAAGAAACACCGAGGAAACCTCTCTTACCGAAATACAGTGTAAAAAATATATATTGTGGACGTAATGGTAAGGTATGGAACACAAGAATAACAATCGATTTCCACACACAAATCATCATTTTCGTTTATTTTACCATCATTTCAAAGATTTAAATAAAACACTGCGTACCGTCACTAAAAAAAATTTATAAAATGAACACCAAGATTGGATAGAACATTTGAATAGAATGTCGAGATTGTATATATTATATAAAACAGTGTTGGCAAATGACATGTCATTTTGTTATGATAATACCGTGAAAGCTGGATACAATAACGTGATCGGAGAAAGAGATTTGGTGTTATTATACTCTATCGAAAAAGTAAATACAATGAAAGCTTATTACAGTAATGAGATCGGGGGAAGAGATTTTGTGTGATCATAACGAGATGATATCTTAAAGAATGTTACTGTAACGAGCGCTCACTGTAGTTTTTGTATTTTCATCACTGTAACATCTTATAAAATACTTGCACCATGATATTCAACCTAATTCAGCATATCATAGTGCTGGTCTGAAATGTTAACCAATCAAATTCTGATCCAGATTTTTTTTCCAAATGACATTGTCATTTACGTATTTTGATATATGACATGTCATCAATGTCATTTTATATCATTGTGCCAACACTGGTTTAAAATGATGGTACAGCCTAATAAAAAGAATACTTGTAATAACGATAAGAAAATTAGAATGGAAAAATTTACTAATTTGTTGGGCAAAACCAATAACGATAGTGTGAAAAAAATTTAAACGATATTATGTATACAAACTTGTTGCGTTGAAATCATCATTACATGATTCAAAGCAAATTACATTAGAATTTAAGTTGAACAATTTCTAAAATGTAAATTTGCTTTTTTGTTTTCTAATACTGACAAGTTTTCAAAAATATATTCTGACTGCTCTAAAGCTTATAACTAAAAATTAATACTCTATACTGATATGTAGTAATGGATTATACAAAAGATGTTTTTTTTAAAAAACGATCGTAATTCATATCGATATGAAATTCTTGAACTATCATAATTTTCTCAAAATCGTTATGCTCCACTACGAAACATTAAAGCATTTACTTTGATGCTTACTATGATTTGCGTAAATTCCACGATGAGGAATTTGTTCATTGTGATTTGCACCCTAGAAATATCTTAACTTTAATCTTCAGATTTAATGCTTTCATTTCAGGGAAGTTATGTTATTTCGGAGGTGCTAAATGGAAAGTCATCCACTAAAGCTGCAGATATCGATAGTTTTGGGATGTATAAGATTATAACAGGCAATTGACCATTCGGCGAGTGAAATCATGATAGAGATCTCGTATTAGACAGGAACACGACCTACGATGCTATCGGATCTTATTCCAAATACGTACGTATATCGATATCCTTGATGAGTGGAAACCGAAAATTTGTATTTCTAGTACTACAACTCTTTAAAATTATTAGCGTTAGGTGTCTTAAACTAGAAAACAGAAATTATATGAACTTTATGAAGAGGATACAAATATGAACAAAAACAAAAACACTACACACACCAATCAAATCTCTATTATAAAATTAATTTCAATCCCAACTGATACAGGTACCTTCTATTTGAAGTATAAATCATATTGATATCTCACATTTATTATATAATTTATTTCGGAAATTTAGGGTTTACAAGTGTCTATTTTCGATTTGGTATACCACACGAAATCAAAGAGAATGAAGATATATTAAGTGTTTTACAAGAAAAACTGCAAATTCACGATGAAACACTTCCAACAAAATAAAAAAAATGTCAGAATTTCTAACTCTCAAATCAACAAAGATAAAATTTTTTAAAAGTAATCAGTCGATATCAACTGTGATTTAAGTTAAAGCACAACGACCAAAAGCGGTTTCAACTTCTTGTGATTACACATATATTTATTGTTATATTTATTTCTTTTATGTATACTCTTATAACTTAAAGACAATTTTGTTAAGTTCTTGATCTTGTATGCATATTAGCGAAAAATAAATTTCGTTCAAGATTTTAGTACAGTCAAAGCTAGTTATAATAATGACTTTTATTCTATAACTGTTTCTTAAGTAACCATGCTTTGTATATGGACATATTATTATAACTAGCTTTGTTTATATAACAATAATGCTAATATTTACAAGCTTTTTATCACTGAGTTATCAAGCTGCCAAAACCAGTTATCATAAAGATTTTGAGGCTCAGCCATTATAAATCGGTTCAAAATTCAGGAGTTCCATCTACCTCTTAACTAAGAAGTAAAACCAAAATTTGACCGGTAATATTATAGAAAATAACTTTCTTGATAATATTACCGGTCTTTACTTCTTAGTAGTTGATAGAATTTTTAACTTGAAACATATTGTCGATTTAAGAGTTCCTAAGACTAAAGCACTACCAAAAACGCTAAATCTAAATTATTAAAAAAATAATTATTTTTATTGCGAATTGATTATCTAAAACAATTTAACGTTAAAGCTTGCATTTTTCTTTAATATAATTAAAAATGATATATAGAAACTTTATACTTATTAAATTATTAAAATGCTGAATATTTCACTTTTTTTGTTCCATAACGAATTTTCATATTGTGACAAAGTAATTTCGCGGTACATGTACAAAGATGCACTTCGTTATAGAGAATTTTGACAGTACAGTATGTTGTGTATTATACATGTAGTTCCTATCGATATGTAATTACATGTACATGTAATAACTTCATTTAAATTTTATTAATTAAAAATTAAATGCAGTTAATACGTACATGTAATAAATGTAAGATGCTAAAATTGATATAACTTAACACATTATTTCCTTATTTTTAAATTTCATTAGGTATTTCTTACCATTACGTACAGTGTACGCGTTGTGTTTACGTAACCTTTAGCATAAATGAATTACTGTGTTATCGTTTAGAAATTTCTTTGCAATATTATCAAAAATTCCAGAATTCCAAAAATAAAGGAAATTAAAAATTAATTCTACAATAATACTAAAGAATTATCTGCATACATGTAAATTAATGAAGTATTACAAAGAGAAGTAATTCAATTCATATAGACGTTAGTCACCAACCATTCCTCAACATCTTTAACATCACGCTTCAACCACGCGGTATTCGTACGAATACTTTCCAAACTTTGTTGCAGCGGTCGTGCAAAACTCTTGGTATCTTTATCAGCAAAGAATTTCTCTACGTCAATTGCTGCTTCATCTGATGCGAACGAGTCTGTCCCATGCTTGATAACGGATCCGAGCAGATTAAGTGATTTTGCATATCGACCTTGGAGCTACATGTATTTTGATTTAGAAAAGCTGACGAAAAGAAACTTCAAATCTCATGAAAACAAAATTTTAAACTTTTTACCAAATCCCAATTTTTTTTAATGAAATCCCACAATGGCTTTCTTGATTTACGATTAGATTTCAAGCTTTAATTTTTATAATTTGTTAATTAGTCCAAATAAAATAAAAGAATATGCCGAAATGAAATAGTAACTTACCTTATAAAAGAATAAATAATATCTTGATTACGAACTTCCGGAGAGATGGAAAAGTCCAATGCACGTTGTATCAATTCAGGTTGTTGCGCATAGCCAAGAGCGGTTAACGCGACAAGTTGTTGATCAGCTGTTGGACTATTTCGGAAAATGTTTAATATTGCTTCGAATTCTTTTTCACCGCCACCATGTGTTAAAACAATCTCATAGACTGCTCCTCGTATATTAGGATGCAAAACCGATTGATCATTTTTCTCAGTGAAAAGTTCAAAGCGACGCTTAGCTTCTTCAACAATTCTATATATTATAATCGCTTTAATTATTTCTTTCTGTTCGGAATTGGTCTAACAGACAACAAACATGCTTGCTTACTCTGGATCTCCAGCCCTGCCGGTAACCTTAATAGCCAAAGTTCTTAACATTGTAGTCAGATAATCTTCATTTTCAGGATATTTCCAACCTAATTTGTGTGCCAATTTCGAAAATAATTTTCGTTGGAATGACAAGAGTCCCTGGTAAACAGCCTCGGGTTGTTCAAACCATACGGAGGCAATATTCGTAACACGAGAATTAATTTCGAGCCACACACTGAGAAAATAATAAAATATGTTTAAGTAGTACATGTAGTATGAAAATTTATTTAAACAAACGTACATGTATTTGTCCTCATTTTCGAATTCAGTCAACAAGCTCAAGACTCCACTAGTTTTCCCATATCCACTCATTGCTAATGCGCCTGCATCGGCAATTATACCCACACGATCACTTGTATCCGTTAATTCGCCATTCCTGATTGATTTTCCCAACTTTTCTAATCGTTCAGGTGTATAATTGACTCGAAATACTCCAACTTCATGTGTGTTCAACTTGAAGAAATCTCCCTCGGCTTGTGAAAGTGTGAAATCAGCTTCTTTTACTGTAAGTAGTTGGGATTCAATATTGGCAGGTGTAGATTTTTCTGTACTAATACCAAGAGGTATCCACCAAATATGAGTGTCATCTTTTGGGGTAACATCGCCGGTAGAAAGAAATCGAGTTTGTTTGATGTGTATAATATTTTGCTGAGGTTCAGTAACATTGAGCACTGGATACTATAAATAATTAAATTAAAGTGAAACACACATATTTGTATATAAACACAGGGTAAATATAAAGCGTATTTATACCCCAATTTTTCTCGTCCATCCAGCCATAAATTCACCAACATCGTGTCCACTCTCATCCGATAAATTTACCCATAAATCATCCGTACTCGCATTTCCATACGAGTGAGCATTCAAATATCTTCGTATACCAGCCAAGAGAACATCTACACCCAGATAAGAACTTAACATTCGAATAACAGAAGCGCCCTTCTGATAACTTATAGCATCGAAAATTTGAAAAATTTCACTGTTAACACAAAGAGGATTATTTTATTTAGTGATATATTCTTGTGTACGATGATTTAAGGATTATAATCGAAAGATTACCTGGGATCATTTACAGTGACTTCGATAGGATGTGATGAACGAAGGGAATCGAGTTGGAGACCACGTTGAAAATCATCAGCTACATACCTAATCGTAATTAGGTAAATTTATTAAGTCAATCAATCAATCGACCTGATAGCTTTTCATTATGAGAGTTTCTTACTGTGTCCAAATATCCCAATCTGGGAAAATTTCATCAACTGCCAAATAACCAACCCAAGTAGCAAATCCTTCCTTAAGCCAGAGATGATCCCACCTAAAATAAATACATAGATAGATAGTTAACATTAATTTATATCGATATAGAATCATAAATTCTTAATTAATATTACCATTCCATCGTGACGAGATTTCCAAACCATTGATGAGCTAATTCGTGGCCAACAATATAGGCTATCTGTTGTTTATATTGCGCGTCAGATGCCTTTGAGTCAAAAAGAATTGCGGCTGTACGAAACGTGACAAGACCCCAATTCTCCATAGCACCTGATCAAAATAAAGTAAAAAATTCACCTTGTTATGCACGTTTTTTGGAAAAAATTTCAAATTTCAAATTTCAAATATCAAAAATTATATACCAAATTTGAAATCAGAAATCGCTACCATATCTAATTTCGGCAAAGGATATGGAATTTCAAAGACTAAATAAAAGCAAAATTATTTCATTAAATATCCTTGTTTTTAGATTGAAATATAAGATAATTTATTATACTTCGAGCAAAATAGTCGAGCGTTTTAGTCGCAACATCCAATGCGAACTCTCCTTGATTCTCTGACCCTTTATTTGCATAAACTCGGATAAGTACTGGTTTTTTATCATTACATTCACCAGCTGTATATTTCTCAATGTAAGCCAAATCTCCAGCGATGAATGCCACAAGCTGTTGGATTTACAAAGAGAATAAAATTGTGAAAACCAAATATTTGTAATCATCGAAATGTAACGGTAAACATACATAAGTACTCATGATCGGTGTCGTTGCGAATTTCACTTCTTTTTTGTTATTTTCAACTGATTTTTCACAAATTACATCCATATTACTCAAAGCCACAAGACCAGAAGGGACAATCAAAGTAATATCAAAAGTAGCTTTGATTGCTGGTTCATCCCAACAAGGAAAAGCACGACGGGCATCAGTAGCCGAAAATTGGGTAGTAGCTAAATATCTATCTCGGATGAATAAAAAAGGAAGTTACTTGATGCAAAAAAATAATCTCTCACAAAATCAATAATTAAGATTAAACTTACACACTTTTTATTCCCTGTAGAATCGGTGTAAGAACTACGATAAAAACCACACATCATATCATTTAGAGTTCCTGTAAAGTCGATGTGCAAAACAGCTGATGTGCCAGCTTGCACTTCGCTCGGAAAAGTAAAAGTCACAGTCTGCTTGTCATTATTATAAGATACATCTGATGCATCGATACTACAAAATTTGGAAAATTAATCATAAAAAGGAGAAATTGTATGTGGATGGCTTGTTTATATATAATTTTTTTGATACCTATTGAGCTTAGCAGCTTGAACTTCAATTTCATGAACATTTAATGTTGTATGCTTTGTAGTTTCATTGATATTTAGGCTATAGATATTTTAACAATTGTTAGTTCAACAGAAATATCAATTTCGCACTCATTATTAAAGCTTTTTATAAATGCATAATACTATACAGTCCACCCCCCGGTAATATGATAGCGTTAATATAAAACTATACTTTTGACATATTCGTCATATTAACGGAGGTAGACTGTAAATAGTCCGGATGTCTCACTTTATATCTTCGCTTCCTTTAAAGGTAAAATCTTCCAAATTAGGCGTTAAGATTAAGTTATAATGAAACGGCTTCACATTAGTAGGCAATGTTTGGCGTTCAGTTGTACTGGTCATTCTGAAAAAAGTATTATCGTTATGGAAAAGAAAGAAAAACTTGGTGAGAAAATGTGACACACAGCTACATAACATGTACACAAACTAAATGATTTCCTTTTTTGTGTCACATGCATAAATCGATTTACAAACATGTACGGTAATAAATTCTATGCTAAGATTAAATTATACCACTCTCTGTTGATTTCAAATGCTCTTTCGTCTTGTTCAATGTAAATATAACTGTTTGATAAAGAGAGCCTAAAAGTAGCTCTTAGTTTCCGAATAGTTCTGAATTCAAAATCAAGTTGACTGCATAAGTTGTAATGCGTAATTCGGCACCTATTTTATCTGAATTTTTCTCTTCGCCGAGTAAATTATTTAATAGAGTTACTAATTCTTCAGCGGCATAATCAAAATCTAGTTCAACCTTTGAAGTACAGTACATGTACTATCTTGAAACATCACGTGTTTGATTCTGATTGCTGATTTATTTCGTAAATATCAGGTCGATTATCTGGCATATTACCCTAGCATTGTTTATATAGTCCAACATATTTGTTAGGAGTCACAAAATTATAATTTTTTTAATCTGTTGGCTTGGAAATACATACCCGTATCGGTTTGATGGAATGCGTCCACTGAATATGACCCAAAAAATCTCAAGGCTGAAGATGATTTTTTTTACGCACAAAGTTTTTTGTATCTTTCAGATATGCGTGATCGGTCGATATACAATAGCAGCCATAAGTATCCGAACGCCCGGCTTTCCCAAAATCATACTATAAGGATCACTCAAATTTTCTGGGCGTAAAATGTAATGTTGCGTTCCTTCCAATATTTAGTCGCAAGGGTCTATTCTGTGATGGTTGGGGCACCAGATTATTGTATTTACTACAATGATCAATCGTTTCAAGGAATTTTCTGCAACGGAGTGGGAGTTATGAGGAATTATTTATGGTTGGAGGGTCTCTCCGGTTGTTCCAAAGGTTTTCCGTGGCGATTTGTTCACCAATCAATTTTTATTCAACAAATAGAGGGGGGGGGGGGGGGGGAAGGTGTTTGGAAGAATAGATAGAGTATAATTTTTTTTATAATAAGAGTCGGTTTTTTATAATAAACTCTTGTTTATCCAACAACGATCGATATATTCACAAACGTGATAGGACTTATTGACACGGCCTACCCAAGAAAACAAAGTTAATTTGAAAGAACTTGTTGATGTGGCCTGTACAAAGAAAACAAAACTAATTCCACAGGACTTAATGATACGGCCTGTTCAAGAAAACAAAGTCAAATCAAGAAAAATCAATGGCTTATTTTATGTGGAAGAGCATCCACTGAAGTTTAATCGAAATAATAGTGTATTCACAAGTAATGTTATTATTACAAGCAAGAACTTTATTATATTTATTGGATTAAAGCATGTCTTCTCAGCGACTCGAAGACGCTTTTGTCCGGATTGTTGTCATCCCCTTCTTGATAATCACTAATTACGTGCATTAATTATTGTTCGATGTTCCCCTATTGTCCAAGTGACTGTTGAGATAATTATCGTCCTCTTAATCATCACTATTGTTATGTGCACTAATATTATTATTGAAAAACGATGGGATATTCATAACACAGAGAAAAAAAAGGTAATACATGTACTGTTACCGTAGTAACAATAAATCCCTTAATTCCGCAATAATGCTCAACTAAATTCTACATGAAAATCTTACCG